GATTGTCTACCTAAAATTATCTTATATTGGTACTGAATAATATCGTTGCAAAACCACGAATGTATAAGTTGAAGGTTATTAGAGATAATGTTACGTAATGCTCTTTCGGAGTCACAAGCAAATAGAATTCAATTTTTTTCTTAAGGTTAACCACTTTGACTTGCAAACATTCGAAATGTTACGGTTTAAAACGAGAGTAGAACGACTTAAGCATGAAATAACAAAAAAAAATAAAAAACTGTTGTTCAGGGGCATATACGGACTGATACCAGTCCGTATAGATGTATACGGACCGTTATCGATCCAAATATAGGCACTCCGAGGGATTTTTAATCATAAAACTAAATTAAATTAAGTATGAATATATATATGGATCGGTTTTGGTCTGAATATATGTAAAAAAATCCAGGAGCTTCCATGCTTTTCATTTTTCAGACCGATTTTGGTCCGAATATAGTAGAAAAAATCCAGAAACTTCTTCGAGTGCACATTTTTAATCTTTTCATTTAAGGACATTACTATCTTCTCGTGTCCTAAATCAATTTCTACGGAAACCAATTGCATGTACATCAACCCTACAGTCCCTTGGAACCACAAAACCATCGATTGTCTACCTGAAATTATCTTACGATGGTACGGAGTAATATCGTTGCAAAACGACGAACGTATAAGTTAAAGGTTATTAGAGATAATGTTACATAATACTCTTTCGGAGTCACAAGCAAATAAAATTCATTTTTTTTCTTGAGGTTAACCACTTTGCCCTGCAAACATTCGGAATGTTAGGGTTTAAAACAAGAGTAGAACGACTTAAGCATGAAATAACAAAAAAAATAAAAAGCTGTTGTTCAGGGGCATATACGGACCGATACCGGTCCGTATAACTTTATACGGATCGATATCGGTCTGAATATAGGCATTCCAAGGTTTTTTAATCCTAAAGCTAAATCAAATTAGGTATGAATATATATACTTAATAAAAATTATACTTATTTGGTAACTATAAAACATATAAAATTAAATAAAAATATAATATTGGTAATTATAATTATAAATAAAAAATAAAATATAAATATATGTAAACTACAACTATATAAATAATGCAATTTACAACAAAATAAGAAAAATGCTCTTACTTGAAATTCTTCACATTTCCTGCAAAACAGAAAACAAAATATACATAAATATAAAAGAAAATTGAAAAACGTAATAAAATAGACATATATACATGAAAAATTTTAAAGTTCACCAAATGTAACCTAGAAAAAAAAAAATAAAAAAGCTGCAGTTCAAGGAATATACGAACCGATACTGGTCCGTATAGGTATATACGGACCGGCATCGGTCTGTATATATCATTTAAAGAAAAAAAAGCAATAAAAAATAAAGAAAACAGATTTATTTTATTTAATAATTACATAATATTACCAAATAATGCAAAAATATATTTTACCATTTAAAATAAATGCATTTATAATAAAATAAAATGTGCTTGGAATAATTACTTAAAATATGTAAAAGTTTAATTATATTATATTTACTTAATAAATTTCAATTTTAGTTTTGGTTTTACTTAATAAAAATTATACTTATTTGGTAAGTATAAAACATATAAAAATAAATAAAATATAATATTGGTAATTATAATTGTAAAT